TATGTTTTTTTTTTTTTTTAAATTTTTTTTAAAGAAAACAATCATATTCTGCGTTGCACGTAAAGGGAAACCACGAAAATATCTTTCAGATTGCTTGACGCTTAAAGAGTGCCAGCTTAATGTTCAGGAATCGTAATGAAGTCTTTTTTGTTTAATGAATCATTTTTTAGCATCTTTGACAGACAGTTTATATTATTTTGTGAATATAACGAGATGCTCTTTATATTTTTTTTATTTATATTTATAACTCATCCCAAAAATCAAAGTAACTCGCAATTTCAGTATCAGCGAAAAACAATGTTTGTAAAAGTTACAAAAACAATTTATTTTAACCGTGATTAAGTTGAAATTCAAATGATCAAATTTTGCGTTGCACGGAAAGAAAAACTACGAAAATGTTTTTCAGATTGCTTGGCGGTAATTGGATTTCAACTAAATGTTCATCATTATCTCAATGAAATTATTTTTTCATAAGCAATCATTTTTTATTATTAATCAGGTCTAGCCGTTGAGGCTCAGAAGATCTGGAGTCTCCTTGAGGTCATGCTAACCGAAGCGGGGGTGCCATCCCCTCCGTAGAGGATCAAAATTGTGATGGCATGTCTTCGGATCATCCTCCGGGATGTTTCCCAGACCGTCGCCAATAGCCCATTGTGCAGCTCTAGTGCGACGTAAATTAACAACAACAACTTCCGAGCGGAATCAAGAGCTCGTAATACGGCCTAACTGACTTTCACGGATTTATGACGTCACGAGAGCTTCATTTCGATCGGAATGGCTGGAATTCAAACGTAGTTCGCCTCATTGCAAGGCAAACACTCTATCCCCTGAGCCATCGCGGCTTAATATGTATTAATTGAAATAAAAAAAAGTTATCTATCTGTTAAAAAGCACAGTTAATGGAGAAAAAATACTTATTCGTTTTGGGGAACCGTAAAAAAATGGCCATATTATTATTGACCTAATGCTTAATTAATATTGATAATATGCATTAATTGAAATAAAATAAAATAATCTATGAGCTAAAAAGCAAAGTTAATGGGTCAAGGTAAATGGGAAATTTTTCAGGAAAATAGTAGAAAATTGTCATCCACAGATGACAATTAATCTGTACTACCGACGGTAATATGTACCAATGGAATTATGGTAATTGGTGCAGTTTTGATAAAAACTCTACAACTCTTTTCTGTAGTTTCAGAAAATATTTTTTCCAGCTGTAGCAAAGATAGTGAATTAATATTTAAATGAATAAGAATCAAAAGAAAATTTTTTCCACCACTTCTTGTAAATATTCAGACAGAGAAATGGTCATGCTCCAAAATCCTTATCAGGTTCTAATAAGAGTTCTATTTTTTTTAAAAAAAATAAGTAGTTTCACTTGGTATCAAAGTTGCCGTTCTGCTTGCCATGCAGAAACACTTATTGAAATTTTCAGCATTGGGCCTCACATAAGCCTCATGCGCGGGTAGGGGGGACGGTGGGTATATGTCTCTCTCAGTATTTAGAACTCCCTAAAAGTCCCCCCTAATATTACAAATAGCGAAAACTCTCGTGAATTATTATCAATCCAAATTTCTTAAAATTAAGAACAAGAGCAAGATTTAATTAATAATAATAATAATAAAAAAGATGAAAAACAGAACAAGATAAGTAAATCACAGTTAAAGTTTTTATTCTTCTTTTTTTGTGCGTAAACGTATTTTTATATCTTTATGGATAGCTCGTCAATTTCCAACTAGGTGAGTAACTAAAAAAATATTTTAAAAAAGAATTGTGATCACCGCTACTCATTGGCAAAATGGTTGCTGTCTAATTTTTTTTGGAAAAGCAACTTCATTGTTTTCATCTTGAACATCTTTAACTGTTGATCCTGAACTGCTATGTACACAATTTCGGAGACATATTTGAATGCAGCTCAGACATATTTTGTGTAAATTCTTTTGAAGACTGAATAGACATTGAGCAGAAAATCGAGATCAATATTAACATTTTCGGATTGGTACAATGGTGTTTGAAGGAGATTTCGGATTCACAAGTTCATACATGAAATATGATTTGAAAGCTTGGTGCTTTTTTTCAATTTTACACGAATAGTGAATGAATCATTTATATTGCGTGGAAGACAGTCTACGGTTTTGTACAAGTCATTGGGTACATTGACAAATGATCATTTTATCCCTAACTGGTAATCAACACCCAGTTCTCGTATTTGCATGAATGGGGTTCGGAGAGCCACCATTCGCTTTTCGGTAGGGTTCAAGTATCTCAACCGCTTGGTACTCTTGTGAGAGACGGGCTTCGTGCTTGGTTTGGGAACGGAATCCTTTCGTTCTTTAAATTTGGCTTTTTCAACCTCGGTAAGTTTAGGCCTTGTCATCGTTTTCTTCTTGCTTCAACTCTAACTTTTGGGACCGTGACCCTCTTTATTTGTGATGTTCACCTGAATTAGTATTGAAAACGATACAGCTTAATTAAACTGTGGGTTAGAATTTCTGATTCTAAAACAATAAAAACAAAAATATCGTTCAAATGATGAAATTCTCTTTTATTCACAACTCAGGAAGTATTTATGGGATCTCTCTGGTCCTATATCACAAAAATAAACTCACTAACTTAATGCTTAACAAAATTAAAATCGAAAAAAAAGAATTCTAAAAAAATCTCAAACAGTAGCGGTCACCATAGCAACGCATGCAATGACGACGCATGCGCACTGTTTACTATTTATCTTGATTATTGTAGTTGAAAAGTGTGAGAACGCCATCAAATCCAAACCAAGACCCCTTTTGCCAATAGGTAAAAAAAAAAAAAAATCTTTTTTTGTTGGTTTTTATTGACAAATGTATTTTTTCACAAAACTTAAATGCTGAAGGGTTATCTAATTAGGTATTAAATATTATATTGATATATTTGCTTATTATTAAAACGGCACCAATAGTACGCAATTTTAATATCTATACTTAGGAAATAAGTATTTTACGGTCCCTCGAAAGGGATATGCACCAGAGAAAATTACTTGAAAGTAGTAAATTTTGATTACCATAAAGTTGGACACGTGCAATAGCATCATGCATGCCAAGTGATACAAAATACATTTTTTTTTATTCTGATAGGATTAACTCATGGAGTCTAGTGGATTAACTCCATGGATTAACTACAAAAAACGATTTTTGCTTATTTCTATAACGTTAAGCCCTCAAAAAGGGCAACAAATAATATTAGATTTAAAAAAAACTGAAATTATTTTAGCTATATTAACTAAAAACTTAGTAGAAGAATCAGGTAAGTGATATTTTTAGAACGAAAAAAATTTTTATGAGAACTATTTTACTACCAATTTATTAGAAAATGGGACTAATTCTTTGCCTTATTTTATCTACCACGGCCTAATTTGAAATAAGAATCATGCAAGCATACTTCCACTAAGCTCTTTAATTGTGACTGTGCCTTACACTGTTGAGCTTGATTTTGTGGTATTTCTCAGTATACTGATTCATTGATACTTTACTTTTTTTTAAATCACCATGTGAGAAGGACTTATAACTATATAGTTATATTTCTTTAACTATAGTTATAGTATAATTATAGTCAACCGTATAACTATAGTCACCCGTATAACTATAATTATATTTCTTAATAATTTTGATGGTTTTTTTTCAAAATTAGTATAAAATTTTTTCTAGTGCGCTTATAATGCTAAATTGTTTGTTAATCTCAATTTTATTAATTGATCGAAGGAGCATCTTAAAGACAATATATGAGTTTTTCATGCCTTTATTTTCTTTTAAATATTCGATATTTTAACCATTTTTAATAACTTAAAACACATTGCTTGCATTATTTCTTTACTTTTATTGCTTCTTTGTTGTGCTCCAAAATTTTAAATCCCTCCTAAAATTCCAAAAACATAGTTTTGAAGAGTGAGGCAGCTAACTCTAATTAAGCTATCTCTTGAAGCAAAAAGTACAAACATTAAAATATTTAAGGTAAAAATATACATAGTGATTAGGTAGATAGAGATAATAAAATTTTTTTACAAGAATGTTATCAAATCTAATATTTCTTTTTCTTTTTTCTAAAAAAAAAAATATTGAAATTTTTTTGCAAGAACTTGTTACTATTTAATTTAAATTATTGAAATAGCATCGATAGCTGTTAATTTTTTTCCAATAAATAAGTATTCATAATTATATCACGGTATGCAAAATTAGTTCAATGCGAAATGGAAATGACGATAGGATTACTTAAGTGCATAAAGTTTGATTCACTATCATAATAAATTAAAAATTTAAGTTTTAAATGTTTTCAGTTTTTTGAAAAAAATAAATGCTTCGAAAGTTACTAAAATATTGAATTTTTATTTTCTTTTATCATTTTCCAATCAAATTTTCTTAGTCTGTTAAATCATTTTTATCATATTTCTTTAGTGCTGCCATCTGAAGTAATTGCCTCAAAGGGAAAACCTGCTTTGATTATCTCCTATACGTTTCTCCTAATGTTATACTTACTGATATGGTATAATATTTGTCACTTTCAATGTAAAATACTTATAAAAATATTTTTTATTTTTATGACGACAATTTACAAAAGAGACAGGAAAATGTAGCTGTCCATCTTGATAGTAAATTAGAATTACTCTAGCTATCACGGGAGTGATTAACGCCAAAATTTGGCGAGATCTCTGCAAGTGCCTACAGGGAGTTTTTTGAGAGGGCGTGGTCAAAGAGTTAAATAATGACGTTTTCACGTATCGTCAAAAGTGGGATGGGCTTCATGACGTTCAAGTTGTATGAATTCCAACAGACAGAAAACAGTTCGCTTTTTAAAACTGGAAATGGAAACTGTACAACAAATATCAAAACAAAGAAAAATAGTTTTAATTTTGCTATTTTTCAAACTCATGAAACACAGGGGAAATTTTCGTACCGTGATCTGTGCTAAAATTGCTGCCAAAATTTGGCAAGATTCCCGCTGGGCGTTTTTTGAGAGAGCGTGGTCTGAGTAGAATCATGTGAAAGTGACTCTTGTTTAGCCCCACCCTATCAGTGACGATTTCGTCTTTGGATGTGCTGTCTGGATCGCCTGGGTTGAATCACATCTTGGCGAATTTAGTTGGCAGCACCAGATCACGATAGTGAAATATCCACTAGGGATCGAACAAGTAAATTATTTTTTAGCATTTTCATTATAAAATATAGAGCATTAGATGCTTACTAAAGTTGTATGATGTACTATACACTGTATTATGTACACAATGTATAAGTTTATCATAAACAAAAAGTTTGTAAACATAATTTTATTTATTTTATCAGTTTCTAAAACTGAAATAAAAATGTTTGCCACAATCCCATTAAACGTCTCTAAAAATATGAAACAAATTTTTTCAATTTACAAGTATAAAATTGATGTTTTTTTTTAATATGTACCCACTTTACCGTACTTTATTATTATTATTTTTTTAATAATTTCGAGATAAAACGCTGATTTGTTTTAAACAACAATAATGTTAACCTTTCGTTACTTTTTAAATGTTTTTTTTAAATATCTTTTAAATTTTTCAGGCATGGATGAAGTGAGTAATAAAGAAATCATTAAGAAATATGTAGATATTATTTCACAAGAGAAGTTACCAGTTGGTGAAACAGAGTATAACGAATTGGTAAGGAATATAACTAAATTGAATGTGAATTCATGAAAAAGTTTCCTACTGTGTAAATTTGATTTCGTGTGAACAAACTTTAGAATCCTCACTTTATAGACCTACTTGGCAGGGCAAATTTTTATTTTAATTAATAATTTTATTCTTTTTTTTTTATAAATTTTGGTACTTTTTGATTAGCTGGGTGTAAGAAAATTCAAATGTTTCTTTACTTTTTTAAAATTTATTTAATTTTTTTTTTGTTTAGATTTATTGTTTATCTAAACAACTTCTGTTTGATTGCTTATAAAAGTAAATGAAGGGAAAGAATAAGTTGGTGCAGGCCTACATTATTTACTTGAGCCCAGCTAACCGAAAGGTATTAAAATTTTTCATTTTGGAATAGTATATTTTTCAATTACAGTGCTGTCTGGCTATTAAAATCACACCAGTTCTTAAAACCATTTGATTTCATTAGGTGTCTGATTTTATAAACCAAACACTTAAGAAAAAAATATTTCAAAATTAATCTTTATAATTACACTAAATTAATTATTATTTTCTATTGTTGTTGGATCTATATTTGAAGGTTAATTAAGGGGTTTTAAAATATTAGCATAGCTTTGGGTGATTAGAAGGTTTGAAATTAAAGAATCATAATGGCTTAAAAGCTTAGTAATTTTCAATATTTCTCTTTCTTTACTGTGAAGTTCATTTTAAAATATTAAGCACTTTTCTGACCTCTTTTGAAGATATATTTACCTCATCATCTTATGATTCTTTATGATATTCTTCTTATGATTGATTATGATATTCTTATATGATTATCACATAAGAATATATGATGATCATAATTTTTTAATTCTTATCTTTAAATTTCCCTAAGAAGTGTAATCCACAATTATAACTTTATTCCTTTTGTTTATCGTTCCTGTATAAAAATTTCATGTTTTCAAAACTTAAGGAAATAAAAAATTATATTTATTCAGACAAAAAAAAAAGCTGAGTTTCCATTTTATTATATGTATATTAACGAAAATTTGATCTTACAAATGACAATAATTGAATTATTAAAGATGGTTGTAGCATTTCGATTCTTGCAGATTTGATTTTATAATCTATAGATTTTATTAGTGGTGGTTTTCTATGGTACTTATCATATTTTTATTTTTAAAACATTATAAAATGTTTTAAAAACAAGGCAATATTTAAACTCATAATTTTTTTTATAGGATCTGAATATTGATGAAATAAGCTGGATTGTGTTTAACATAAAAAATTTCAACAAATTATTTACAAAACCTGGTATAACTGACAATCAAATTTTAGTGAAATTATATGAGCTTATTGTTGGATTTGGTTTAACAAACTTTATAAAAGGAGAGGAAAGAGGTAATGAAAAGAAATTCCATTATTTATTTTTTCTAAATGTTCTTTAGTAACCAAGAAGTACAGAGAGAATGTCCGTTTACCGAAAGAGTCTCATTTTTTGGGTACTTTTTAATAATCAAAATAAACAAAAACTTTTTTACCTTCACAAAAAAAAATATATTTTTTCTTTGTACTCTTGCAACCTGTTAAGAAAAAGTATGCAAGGATAACAATCCTCCACCTTTCCGCTTATAATTTTACCCGACTTCCAATTTTTGTTCGATTTTAATCTATTTTCCGCTATAACTTGAAAAAAATTAGATATCTAAGAAATGAAATTCGGCATTTTGACATAAAGAATTGCATATTTTTTCTCACGTTACGTATAAAATGGTTATTACTGCTAAGAATCATACACTCAATTTCAGAGTGTGAAAAAATTTCCTATTTTGAAAGAAATTGCTGGTTTGAGATGAAATTGTCATGACTAAAGCAGGTCTTAATATGATTGCTCAAATGCGTGATTTGGAATTTGTGGATCGTAATAATATTATATTAAAAATTTAATTGAAATTTTAAAAACTATGTGGAAACCCCAAACTGTTGAAAATGCGATCAACAAAACCACACAGACAATAAATTCTTCACAAATAGAGTGCATCAAAAAGAAATTCTTCCATTGTGCGATTCAAAATTTCCCTTGTATAATAATGTAACATTAGAAAACTATGAAAACCCCTTAGCAATAACTGCAAAAAATGCAGTTGTACCATGTGAGATCGGGAATGAATTGTCAATAATGGAGTGTGAAATGAACAATTTGATCAATCGTTGCTAATCGAGTAGATCAAGAAATTATTACTTACTGAAATACATGATTTGCTGTGTATTATAATGACATATTAAAATATTTAAAAAAAGTGTGTGAAAATCTGTAACAGAAGATGTGAAAATGCCGCAACCATGATAATTATGTGGATTTATGCTTTGATTGAAATTGAGGTTAATTATGATTATTTGTTATTTTTTATTGAATAAGAAAGTTTTGATGATTATTTAACTTAAGGACCTATTATCTCGAAAAATCTATCATTTTGTGACTCATTATAATCTGTTTAAAATTAACAAATTTTTCTGTGCAATTTTTCATAAATTTTTGGTGCAAATTCCATTTATATATAAATGACTTTTTGACTTCAATTTTTGTATGTTTACCTTCATATTTTTAACTTGCTAGAAAACAAATTAATTTACAGTTTTGAAATTCATAGACTCATATCCGACACATTTTGTTTTCAAATTGAAAATAATAACTTTTGGGGTAGTCAAAATGAATACTAATAGCTGTTATTATTAAAATGTTTTTTCTGAATATTAGCCAACCTTATATACATACGTTAAAATGTGCAATATTTTTAATTTTTTAGACTACAGTTCAAGTGATTTTCCATATACTGCTAGCAATGCTGTGAAGTGTTTTAAGTATTGTGATCATTTACTGCATTCCTGTAAAGATCTACTATTAGAAGTGGAGAGGAATAAAGCACAGATAATCATCAAAAGCTTGATTCTTTGTGCTACACATAGTGATGTCCATATTTGGAGCAGTGATTATTCAAAAAAATCTAGCTTGGGTAATGATACATTATAGTGAATTTGGTATAAATTGCAAATTAAATGTTTTGAAACCTTAAATTAATTTTTGTGTACTTAAGTAAAATGTTTTTTTTTTTTTTTTCGATTTGTAAACTGATTTTTATTTAAAATATATTGAAGTAATGCTGCTAGACGTGATACATACTTGATGCAACTATAAAAAATCTCATTTTTATAATACAAAATAATCTATTTTCTCGAACTAAAAAGTAACAATACTAAGAACATTCATTTCCTGTAAGAAATTATTCCCACTATTTTACTGCAGAAAGGGTGTTCAGTTTTTATATGGGTATTAATTAATAAAACTCAACACAGCTCATAAGTAAACAGATGGTCTAAATGGCCTAAGTTTAATATGAATTTAAAGTTTAAATAGTTGACAATGTAATTAAAATAAAATATTAGAAAAATAGCCATTTTTACTATTTTTAAGGAAGTTTTCAGAGTTGATCTTGGAGCAAAACACTTGAGAAGTTGTATGAAATCAGAAAGAGTTAAAAACAAATTATTTATTTCACGATAAAATCTGTAGATAATTTCCCGTAGAAATAAACAGTTTAAAAAATTATGCAAATACCTTCTTGAAGTTTTATTCATGTTACTCCTGAAGCAGAAAACTATCACAACTGTCATTTATCACAAAATAATCATTGACCCTGCAGAATGTTATATGTATGGGGCAGATTAAGTCCACATCCCTGGAGAACAATTTATGTCTGATTCGCTATAAAAGTTATATTAATAAGCGTTCGTTTCCATATGTTTATTAGTTCATCTATCCAGATTTTGATATTTAATTAAGATTCCTTTTTTTGCAATTTTATACTGTGAAATATTAATTGTTATTTTTTTAGATAAAAGGATTTTCATTTAACTAGTGAGAGTTGTTAGTTCAATTTTTAAGATCGATACCCTTGGATATATTTGTCATTTTCAAAAAGTCTTGGTGCAGAATATTGGATATAATTTTGCTCTTGGTAATATTATAAAGACTATTGCAATACAAATATCCTTAAAGAATGAGGTTTGTAAGGTATCTGGAATCGATGATCTGTTTTAAGAAAAGGTAGCTCCTGCAATGCGCAATACAATCAAGAAATAGATAACTGGTAATAATGCAATCAATCATTTTTCAAAACCTATAAACAAATGTTATAGGTTTTGCAATTTCCTTACCATCCTCCTTATAAAAATTTATGCCAGATTTTTTTCCATTATTTTGACCATAAAAAAGTACCAGTACAAAGTTCTATAAAGTTTCATTCATAGGATATTGTCAAAGATTTTGAAAATTGTGAGTTATCTATACTGGATGAGTGTTGAATATATAATATGTATATATAAGTATATAATATATATAAGAGTAGAGAAATATTTTTTTCTAATTAATAATTGGTTGGAAAGTTATGAAAAATATTTTTTTGTACAATATAAAATTTTTAAACATTCAATGTACAAACTCATTAATTTGCATACTTTGATAAAAAATTTTAAAATATTATTTTATATATACTTTCATACTATTATTACATTTAGCCATAAAAATTGTTTTAAATATTTTAGATTTTCTGAAGTCTTTATTATCATTCTCAAACCATGATGACTTGCCAAGTTTGTTGTGTGATGACAGCTTCTATCCTACAATTTTCAAAAGAATTTTAAAAGAAATACGTCCCTATTTTGAGATGGACAAATGGTACAAAAATCCAAGTAGTTGTTACATATTTTCATGGTTCTTACTTCAAGTTAAAGTAAGTTTTCAAAATAATACGTTTTGTTGAAAAAAGAAATGTTTGTAAGAACTTTTATTGTACTGTGCTGATTATTTTTATTTTAAAACTGTTAAATACTATTTTATTTTTATTTCTTTGTGTTGTTTAAAGCAGACTTCACCAATACGGCTGGAAACATATTTCTCACAAATTTGTTTCCTACAACTGTAAACATGGTGAGTAGCGTTTTTAAAAAGTGCTTAAAGGTGCTTTTTTCATGGGGTGTTTTTAAAAAAAACAAAAGTGCTTAATTTTCCCTTTTCAAATATGTGATTTTTTTCTTTACCATGTTAATTTTCGCCACCTATTATGCGAAAGCGTTCTTTTCACGTTGTTCTATTCAATGTTTTCACAATAAATTCAACCACAATATATTTCGGCGTACCATTGGTCCATAGCGTATGAAAGCGCCATTCATTTTACAGGTTTGATGAAATACTTGCGGATCCGCACGTATAGTGAGCTGGGTTTGGTGAGATTAGTGCACTCTAAAGTGCAACTCTGCTGCATTTTGCAAGATATTCTCAATTTCAATCTTCATTTTCCACCCTCTGAAATCGAACCAAAAAATCTCTTGATCATTTTTTAATGGCTAATATAATCAAGAAAAAGTTCTTTGTCAAAAACTTGTTATTTTATCATGATCATGTAAAGTCCTTGAAAATTATTTTGCATTTTGTTAATGTATATAGTGCTTAAAAATATTTTTTGACTGCTTAAAAAGTACTTAAAAGGTGCTTATTTTTTGTTGAAAGACTTGGCTATGCACTGTGTTTAATATTCAAAATAAATAAATTTAAGGTTATTTTGTAAAATCTAAAATATTTTTACCATAAAACAAGCTTTGCTTACTTCTACATAAAAAAATAAGAATTTAAAATATTGAATTGAATTTTCGTAAATGTCTCTAATATTTTTATTAGATTAGTTTCCCCCCTATACTTTTTACACCATCCTACAACTTCCACACACCTCTAAGTTCGATTTTTTTTTCTGTTGATTTGATGTTCGATGTCATTTGTGTCACTGATGTTGTCATCAATGTTGATATGTCATTTGATGAATTAAAAAGAATAAATGATTTAAAAAGAAATTTAACAATGGAATTTCGATCATTAAAATTTAAATATTTTTAACATGGTAAATACAGAGGAAATCCTTATTTTTTCGTAAAGTGGAAAATAATATATGAATAATAAAAAGTGATCGTACATCTCAAGATTTCTTTCTTTTATTATTATTAAACAAATGCTAGCCATTGACTATTACTTCATTAGCTCTCAAGTACTTCTTAACAATACAAAGTCTTTTAGTGCAGAGCACATGTCCAAAGGCACAGCAGTCATGGCTTGTCCGGAATCACATAAAAGACAATCTGATGAAGTAGTCTGCTTGAGGTGAAATAAATGAGAACGTAGACAATCATGTCCGGTCAAAAGTCTAAGCATGACTACTGCAGTAGCATGGGGTGAATCTGGAATACTGTGAGTTCCACAGAGCACATTCCAGGACTTATCTGTAGCAGCGTGAGATGCCAAAGATGGAATGATTGTTTGATGATTCTTTTTATTTCAAGTTTAGCGGAATGGAAGGACAGATCACTACACGATCTCTGAAGAATATAAGTTCCTTTTTTGGCCAAAAAGTCAGCCATTTCGTTTCCTCGAAGACCTCAATGAGATGGGACCCATTGAAATGCAACACTTCTCTCAATACAGACGTTCTCAAAACAAGGGAACTACTATTTTCTGGGTTGCTTGACAAAGCCGGAATGACAGAGGTAGAATCTGAAAAAAATTTCAGCTTTCTCGGGACGGGTAAGACGAACAGCAAGTTGTTGGAGAGCAACATGGATGGCTTTGAGCTCTCCATCAAAGTGAATTGAAAATTGCCCAGTATGTAGATAAAAAGAAAATTTATTTCTTTTATAAATTTATCTATAAATCATAATAAACTTCAAAAGGTATAAATTAATGAACATGTCATTATAATTTTAAGGTGTGCATAAATTTAGATTATTTATAAACATATTTCTCATTCTAGCATCCGTACTTAGCAGACTATTTATGTGAAGTTTTCTCACCACCACATATATTTATGTTGGACAGTCATCAAAAATGTCATCATCTTATTGCCATACAGTGCTTCAGTCATATACTTGATAATGTTGTAAGTTTATCATATTTAATAATTTTTATATCTTTATATTTGGGAAAGGGATATAATTTGTTTACTGAATATGTTTGAATTTTTTTTTTTTTTTTGAAAATTTTTATTCTTTACTGTTCTTAATTAAACTGTTTTATGTTTGTTTCACTAAAATTTCATTAGTAAAATTCTCAAAACTTACAGTCGCATTAAAATAAAATTTCAAAAAGTTTGCGTACCCACGAGGTCTTATCAAATGTTTTAAGTTCTGCAATATTTTACGTACTTAATTTGTGAAAATATTCATAACATGTCATTTCTTTTTTTCATGAAAAAAATAACTCGTTTTAAAAATGACCATTATTTTTACATTTCCTTTTAACAAATAATACAAATATTTTTTATATATTTTTTTTTGGCAATCTAAATCTTATCAATCTAAAAAAATCAGGAAAATATTTAGGACTTAAGCAAAAATATCAAATTTTTTTTTTAGTTAAAATGAATAAATTTATGTTTGATGCTCCTGATAGTCTGATATTTTTTTTCCAAATAAGATCTTGTAATAATTTTTTTTCACTTCATATGTAATGCTCACTTCATATGTTTTATAAAATATTTTTTGTTTAAAAATAAAGGATAACTTAATTAATAATAAAATATATGCTACTAGTTACAAAATCAAAAAAATTTAATGAAATTATTTTGGAAAAATCAGAATTTTTTTTTTAGTGTTGGTGGTCACTCTATCATTATGTTTCAAAATATTTTCAAATGAAAACTACTCTCAAAAAATATATATATGTACTTGTTAAAACAATTATTTTCCTCTCCCTTCTTTTTATAAAAAGAAGTAGCATAAAAATTTCAATTTCAAAGCATTAAAATTTCAGTTTTCTTATTTTACATATCTCAGTGTTTAGTTTTCTTTAACTTCCAATACTGCTTTGTGTTATTGAACTAGTATTTTAACTTTTTTTATATGTAAATAGTAGTGTTTAAAACATAGTTATATTTTTTAACGTCATTTAATTTGTGGAATTTTTAATGCCTTTTGTGCAATACATTGTTTCACATAAAAATAGAGATTTTATTTTGAATAAATTATTGTCAGTTTTTGATTCATTTGTTTCTTTTTTTTTATTATGTGACGGTATTTATAAATTTTGTAGGTTGTGTATTAGCTTTGTAAAGGTTGTTCATGCGCCTTCTTTGTTGCATTGCTTATTTTCAATTATGTAATTGAAATATTTTATAGGTCTCTTTGCCTAAAAATTTCTGCTCTGCTGTACTCAAATAACAATAATATGTATAACACTAGCCACCTTTAGTAAAGATTGGTCAATATCATTTTTCCATCAATTTTTATGGCACATATTTAAATAAATCATAAAGAAGGAATAACTTTTTTTTTTAATCTAAAAAATTTGTCACTAGTATCTATAGATTAATGCAAAATGTGTTGAAGACACAAAGTCTTCAAATATTTAAAAAAATTTTTGAAATTTCTTTTTTCAAATTTTTATTTTGAGGTGTTACTGACATTAATTAATAATTAAGATACTTTTCAACATACAATTAATGGAAATTTTTGATTTATAAACTTAAGGTTTGAAAGGAGTATACATTTTGCTTATTTAGTAGCATTTTTTTGTATTATCATCATCATTATTTTCATCATGTATCAAAATATTATTAATTATTGTATTCTACATATCACAGAACTTTCAACTATTTCCAAATCATTTTCTTTAAATATTCTGTATCTGCCTTAATTATTTTTAAAATATTCTTCTCTTCCTTAGGAATAAAAAAAAATAATAAATAACTTACTGTCTTTATTTTCTTTATAAAAAAAAGTAGGTTTTAAAAACTTTTTTCTTCAGCATCTTGATAAATAAGAAAAACAAGAATATTTGAAAGGTTAATAGATCTGCAAAGCATTCTTTTATTATAGCACAGTAAGTTAGCTTTAGAAGTGATTAAATAGTATTTTTTAAGTCTCATGCCAATTATCAGTTCAAAATTTGTCTCCTAAATTATAAGAATGCATTTTTATCTTAGTATTACACCAAAGTTTGGATATAAAAACGCATTAAAATAGTAATATCTGATGATGAGGAATGATTTGTAATTATCTGAAAAATGTTGAACTTGTTTACAGAAAGATCATAATACTTATGTTCAAGAAGTAAAAGTGTTAAAAAATAAATAACTTTGCTAACTGTATTTATTGTTAAGACTACTTTTTAAATAGTGGTGAATTATGAGGATAATTTAATTACTTATTATCTAAAGAAACGGTTTTGTGTGCACTTCCGTATGTGTATATAAATTGTAAGATAATTTTGACAAATTTTATATCGTAGTCTGACCTGTATAATATACGTGACCGCTGCTCATAGAAAATTTTTTACTATCACAGAAATTTTCTACTATTGCTAAAAAATAATAATAATCTGCCTTTTCAAAAAAAGTTTGCTTTCAAATTTCGCAGAGAAAAAAAAAAGAAACATTTTTATGCTTTTACCTACCAATGCAATCGCGATTTTAAATTGCATTCTCACAATTTAGAATCACGCATCCTATTGATGCAATTTAAGATTGACCATCATACTTTGTATTTTCAAGATTTTGTATCAAATATCATGTTTTATATTCACGTAGTTTGAAAGCCACTATTATGATTTGTGTTGAAATGACTTAAAATTTATATATTGGAATTCATATTCCCGTGATTTTAAAATAAAACATTGAGATTCATGTTCATTCTGCTTTAAAATCAAACATTGAGATTCGTATTCACGCCATTTTAAAACCAAACATTGAGATTTGTGCTCACATGATTTTAAAATCAAAAACTGAGGTTCATATTCACACAATTTAAATAAATAAACAAATTCTTGCAGCGATATTTTTATTAATGCAGTGTTAACATTTGTCGGTTTTAAAATGTTTCTTACAGAAACTTTTTTCTTGCTCAAATTTCCGTTATTTTTTCAATTATTTAAAAAGTGTTTTTGCAAGTGATATTTTTGAATTTCTTTTTTCAATTTTTTGGGTTTTTTACCATAGTCATTTCTGTGGTATAAATCAATATCGAGTTCTATAAAAGTTAAACGTTTGTAAGAAAAATACTTGATTTTCAAACAAATTTTCCAAAAAAGAGGTCGCGACAAAAGGTGGTAACTTGTTAACAAGAGTTTATCAATATGTGTTTCACACAATTAGGAAGTTTTTAATTTTATTTAAGTCTGATCACAACTTACCGCACATTTTCAGAATGTCTCACAAAATTTCNAAAAAAAAAAAAAAAAAAAAAAAAAAAAAAAAAAAAAAAAAAAAAAAATGACACCCTGTAAAAAGTTAAATTGTGCTACGGGTACAAACATTTCCTTAAATATTTTAGTTTCATTTGTGTGAAAATGTGATTACTTAAAGAAAGTTAATTTCTAAGCAATTTTCATATACTATTGAAAGTTTTTAATTGTTATATTTGTGCTCTTTCTTAACATTATTTGTTAACATTTAAGATCAGATGAATAATTTCTTTTCCTTTGCCTAGCCTCCAACTTTGATAAAAATTGACAATAGAGCAGATGTTATTTATTCATTATTAAAAGGTTACACGCACAGTTCTGATGAAGATATTATAGCTGCATTAGCACCTTGTTTTTTAAAATTGCCAGATTTCAAGTACCAGAAGGTAAAATAGTTTTTCCATGAAATTTTGTTTCATTCTTTTATTTGTTCTTTTACCTCAATTTATTTATATACAGTGCTAGAAAAAAGTCTGAGGCCACCACTATATTAATATGATTATTGCAGAATATTATTTTTTTAAACTTTGAATTAGTTACTTTGCTAAGAATATGTTTGGGAAAACTGAAAAAGTTCCAATAAAAGATGAACTGATGGACCAAAATCGGGTTTTGTTGCAAGATTATTCTGAAATTCACAAATTTCTTACCACAACTTAATGGTTATTCGAGAACAATATTTAGAGACTAAAGTATTCTGCCAAAAGCCTGGTTTTAAACCTTATGAAAATCTTTTTATGTGCTTTAGTTAAAGATGTATATATAAATAAAAAGTATAAGACAATTTATCAACTAAAATCTGTAATCAAAAAGAGCTAATTTCCACTTTTTGAAACCTTGCAAAATCTTTTACGAAGGATGGTCTCATACTTTTTTTCACCACTATAATTTCATTTTTTAAACTTTCATTGTTTTCTGTTAGATTTATTTTTTTATTATCAAGTGCAGGATTTTTTTTCTTCTTTTTTGCTGTACAATAATGCAATGCTTTGTATACTGTATAACATTTGTTTCACACATTTACTTGTTTGCATTTACTTAAGGTTAATCAGATGTTTTCTAGCCTCTCTTTTTTACAGGCTATTTTATTATAGTAGTTTTAAATTATTTTCAATAATCAAAAACTTTTTACACAAAGAAAATTTGCTTAGTTAAAATTTCATGCTTATAATAATAATATTTTTCAGGTGTCTTTGTATATACCTAAATTGCTTGATTCTTTCAAATCTGATAATTTTTAATCCTTGTTATTAATTCTAAATCAATTTTTTTATATTTTATTTTTATGCACAAAATATTATTTTTTCAGTTAATTCAAATACCCATGATAATCAGTATTAAAATTTTATTGTAAGTATAATTTAAATATGTACATAGTGTTAGATGACAGCTGCAATTTTATTTTAAATAACTATAATCTTAAAATATGTTCTTGAAACCTTATCTTATGTGCTCTCTATCAAATATTTTTTATTTCAAATATCTGTTGCATATTTACTTGACACAATTTTATGATTATTTTGAAGTATATGTGACGTTGAGGGACTCATTGTCCCTCCTATTTTTTAAGTTAGGGCTATTTCCTTTACACATGAAAAAAAAATATTAATGTTATTCTTTTTTTTGTCTCGCAGAAAAAATTCACAATTCCTCTGCTTTTATTAATGCATCTTTCTGTCTATGTTTTGTGTATATTTTCACTGCACTTACATTAAAGTATTTATGATATAAAAAATAGAATTATTAACTGTAGATTTTTGTCATACAATTTCTTTTAATTCTCTTTTTTGTCATTTTTAATACAAGGTAATCAGTATTTCAATTTTTACCTATTTCTGTAAATAAGAATAGATTATGTTAGGTTAAAAAATTATTTTATTTTAAACAAAAAGAAAATGTTATTGAAATTCTTTTTTATCTGTCTTCTTTAATGTAGTAGCAACTTTATGTAGCCTGTTTACATGATGCATTATATTACCAATCTGAACTATATACCATATTCACTAGCTCAGTATCCTATCTATTTTTAAAGTTCAGATAATTTTTTTATACATTTCGGAAAATAAGGAAAGTATTAATCTTTATTTTTTTTCTTCTTCATAAAAATATTTTAATTTATAGTTAAAAGTATGTAAAATATTTCTAGGAATTCGTATATTAACACATTACTCTCTTTTAATTCTTAAAATCTGCATCATTTTGTTCCTTCTTGTTTTCTTTTAATACAAATGAATATTTTACTTATTTTGTTAATTTTCAAATTTATTTCCATTGTTGATTTTATTATAAGTATGATTTAATCGAATATGAACTATTATAGAATATAGAACTTATGGAATAAGATATGTAATATGTTTTAAAATTTTAGTTTTAAGTTCTTAAAATGATTGTGTATATTTCAGCTGACTCAGATTTCTTGGAATCGTTATGATGAGTTCTTAAATGTGCTTCTAATAAGGGCAGATATGGAATGCAAACTGCATATCAAGTTGCTCTACCTTTCTCACATTCATTCATTTATTCAAATACTACCACCCTTTAAACACTTAAAGGTATATAAGTTTAATTTATAATTTTCTGTTCATTAATATATATTATTTGGGATTTGTATTGAAGAAATAATTTCTGATTATTGTAATTGTAAAAAATGGTAAGTTTCTTTATATTGACTGGTTTGCTAACTATTTTGCATGCTAATATTGCAATTCAGTGGTTCTTAAATGCCATTCACTATGTAAAGAAAAAGTGAGGAAAATAGTTTAGAAAGAAAATTAAAATTAAAGTTGTATTAAGGAAAACTTCACAATTTAACCATTAGTTCCCTATTTTAAATATTGATGCTTCTCCCGTATTTTAAAGATCTCAAAATCAAAATACAGTAGATTATCCCAGCCATTCCCCAAAGGTGTTTTGTGGTACCCTATGATTCTGTGGAAAGGTTACCGAGGTTCCGTGAGTTAGGGCCTTTTTTTTTAAACAAGTAATCATTTATGAAACGCGTAATAGGCTTGTATTCAACCAATAATCGATCATTTATTTAATAATTTGGTTATTATTAATGTAATCATTTAAGTAATTTGTCAATAAAAAATTTCAAATTTTAATGGCAATATATTTTATTTATATAAATTTTTGATACAAATATATTCAATAAATTACTCAAAGAATACACATTCACAAATGATTGTATTAGTATTTCTCATCAAACTTTAAAATTAAAAAAAAATTAATCAAATTCAAGAATTTTGATTGTTTTTCTCTGATAATCATTCTCATCTTTTCTGACAGTTCTTTTCAAAAACAACTATTCTTCAATTTTATTTATGCATACGCCATAATAAAACTAATAGACCAAAAGTTGCTGCAGACGACTTGCACTTGCGAATTTAACTGCTTTACATAAAACCTAATTTTTTTACTATTAATTGATGAAATATGACAAAATTTCATTCTTCACATTAAATGTTTCTAAATTAAATTGACGTTTTATTTGTTATTATTTTTTTTAGCATATTAACATCTGCTAATTGATTTTTTTAACGGTCAGGGTTCTGCCAAAAGAAGTTAGATTGTTTAGAGTTCCGTAACTGAAAAAAAATTGGGAACAGCTGGGTTATCCAACACACACAGGATCAGGGGATTTTCGGAAAATAGAAATCGTCAAATAATTGGGGAAACTTCTTAAATCAATTTTGTAAATATATACTTAAAATGATTAGTGACTATAATAAAGTTTAGTTAAAAACTTCTGTTTTATTTTTCTACCACAAATATTGATATAATATGAAAAAAAAATTGGCAAATCTTTGTCTTCAGCTTAATTGTCATCTTTTAGCTGTTAAGTCCTCTCTCATCAGTAGTTACATTAAAATGAGTTGAAAAAGTAGTGTTTAATGGCACAAGGTCCATCATCTCTAATTATGCTGAAAATTTTCAACTTGCTTTGAAATAATTGTCAGATGCTGCAGAGTTGAATGATGGGGGCTCTATTTTGTTCTGAAAAAAAGATGCGTTTATTCAGGGAGATTACATGTTAGAGCCTGGTTTCATAACATATCATTAGTTCACATATATACGGTGTGATTATTAAGATTGTTCCTTAGCACATCAGAATCTGGTCATAAGATTAAAAGTTTTATGATTTATTTTTATTTTTCCCATAGTATATTTCGATTTTTATGTTTTTATATATAGTATTTGATTAATTAAATGATAAACCCGGATTTTTTTATTTATGGCAAAGAAATATATATATATATATAAATATATTTAAATAAGTTCTTAAATTACTTATTTTTTTAATTACTTATTTTTTTTTCAAATCTGCATTTAATTTANTATTATAGAATATAGAACTTATGGAATAAGATATGTAATATGTTTTAAAATTTTAGTTTTAAGTTCTTAAAATGATTGTGTATATTTCAGCTGACTCAGATTTCTTGGAATCGTTATGATGAGTTCTTAAATGTGCTTCTAATAAGGGCAGATATGGAATGCAAACTGCATATCAAGTTGCTCTACCTTTCTCACATTCATTCATTTATTCAAATACTACCACCCTTTAAACACTTAAAGGTATATAAGTTTAATTTATAATTTTCTGTTCATTAATATATATTTGGGATTTATATTGAAGAAATAATTTCTGATTATTGTAATTGTAAAAAATGTTAAGTTTTTTTATATTGACTGGTTTGCTAACTTAGAATTTTGCCTGCTAATATCACAATTCTATGGTTCTTAAATGCCATTCACTATAAAAGGAAAAAGTGAAGAGAATAGTTTAGAAAGAAAAGTAAAATTAAAGTTGTATTAAGTAGAACTTTACAATTTAACCATTAGTTCTCTATTCCAAAGATTGAGGCAATTTTTTTTAATATAGTATTTGATTAATTAAATGATAAATCTGGATTTTTTATTTAAAGTTTTATAAATCTAGAATACTCAAAGAAATGTCATAGAACTACAATAAAATGTTAAAAAAAATAAAAAAAAATGAATTAATTTGAGTTTGAGGTTCTTAAATTATAATATTTTTCCTGAGAAAATTGTTCTTGTAATACTTTTTTCTGAAAAGAAATTCTTTGTTTTTTATACTACATTTACACAAACATTTTAATAATAATTAAAAATGTTTGTGTAGTAATGTATATATAAATATTAGTAATGTATTTCATAAATAAGAATAAATAATATATTTTATATCTAAGAATACAGCAAAATTAAATAATTAATATTATAGTTTATGCATCCGGTTACAAAAAATAAGAGAAACTCAATTAAAATTCAAAGTTAAATTCAGTCTGAAGAAAAGGGAGCTTTTTTTTCTGAGTGTTTGTAGCCGTCCTGTTAATATCATTTACTATGAACTGCATAAAAAATTGTTATAAGTGTGATGCTTTAGCAAAATATCTGATTTAATTTTGCAGCATTTTCAATTTGAATTCTTGTAAAATTGTAATTTTTCTGTAGCAATGAGAACTGCATCTGATACAAGAATATGAATTTTATAACTTAATTTATTTTGTATGTAAAAAAAAGTTATTTAAAATCACGAAAGGAATTCTGAGGCTGTTAAAAATGCACACCATTGCGATGAGCTTTTTTATTTTTTCATAGAAAAAACTTATGGTGTTTAGATTATTATTATTTTTTTAATACATAAATTTGTAGAGATAAAACCTGTTCTATTCCTTAGCATAAAAAAAAATTCAACAATTTTATTTTAACATATATGCAACAGTTCTACAATTTTATTTTATTTTGAGAAAAAAATTGAAAGTGATATTACTAATTAAAATAACTTTTTAGTGGCCTCAATATTTTTTTAAATTTTCTTTTTAAGTTTTCAAACATATTATGTTCATAATTTGATTTGTAGAATTACCTCTTTAAGTTCAGATTATCTCTAATTTGTATTTAATAAATTGTTAAAAAAAATTTCCCCATCAGAAAATTTAATTCAATTATTTTTTGTGATTTTCTTCATTATCATTTGCTAGGTAGGCCTTAATCTATTAAAATAAGAAGAAAGTGAATGAAATAAGAGTTAGGCACAGTATTGAAAAAGAAAGTGCGGTGATTTGGAGGTTGTGATTAAGCTTAACTGGGAAAATTTGCTAATTGAAATTTTTGTTGTAATCTGCAAATTCAACAAATAATTGTGTCATATTTATCCTTGTTTGATACATTGCATTCATTCATTTTATTTTTTTTAAGTAGTGAGAGGGCAACATGTGATAATAATAAATGTGTATAGATTTTAAAATAATGAGAATAGTTCCTTGCCAACTTGTGCAAAATGTATTTCCTCTCATTGTTGCAGCTTTAGAAAACTTGCATTTTGATAAATCAGTGTTAAAGTATTTTCAAAAGTATTGTCATTCATATTCATATTAAGCTTTCATTGAATTTCATAAAAGAATAGAAGCACTTGATATTTTTTTCAATGGCAAAAGTATCAAAATTACTCATTTTTATGACTTACGACTCAAGTTTATTTTCATTCAGTTTGGCTTTTTCTGATATTGAGTAATTTACTTATTATATTTTTTTTTAGAAAATTTTTTGAAAGTATAGCTAAGTTTCGAAGGAAACTATTTAAATCAAAAAAAAAGTTTTTCATTTTTTGTCTATTTTTGTTGGTTATACTTTTGTGTTAATATAAATAGTGCAATTAATGAAAGCAGTCAAAAGAGGCTAATGCCATATAATAATGTCACTGATTGCTGCCATAAAAGGAAATACTGTCCCCAAAGAGTTAGCAAAGCAGTTTTCACATTGTTTCATAACTTTTGTTATAAAATCATTCATACATTAGTTATAAAATTATAATTTGATCTATTTACTTTGTGATTAAAATGGACTTTAATTTTGTTAAAATAGCGTCTATGGAAAGTGATTGAAGATGGTCTCCTGAAAGATTCTAATCCTCTCTGTTTGATAACTACCTTAAAAATTTTAAAAGATGTGATTAGAAGTTGTTGGCCAAGGTATGAAATTTAGTTATATTGTCTAAGAACAATTGTATAAAATTATGTTCTTTAAACAATAAATTTTTTGTGTCTATTAATATTTTTATAATTCAGATTGTCCCTTTTTAATTGTTTTTTATGCAACATCAATGACAATTACCTTTTTATTTTGTTTATTACATTGTGAAATAAAAATTAATCTGAATAGTTTTGTTTTTAAAAGTTTTTGTAACTATTCAGTTTTATTTTTTAATGAATAATTTTTTTTAAACATTATGTATGTTGAATTCTCATAAATTTTCTTTTAATGTCATTATTTGTCAATTAATAAATCTTTAAAAAAATTAATTATAAATTAATTTTATAACTATATAAAATATTTATTTTTTTAGAAAAAGAACCTGTTAAATATTTAAATTTTATTTAGTATTATGGATTCACAAAGACTTCTTTTACCTAATATTTACAAATTTTAATACTCTATATTTCAGTTCCTAAATATGTGCTCCTATACATAAGTTTTAGTACCTTTTGTTATTAAAAAAACGGTTCAACAAATCGACACCTAAAATTATTTAGCGTGCAACATTAATGTCAACCTAGAAACTTTCTTATCTAGGTTATTTAATTTTCAACAATGCTTAATTTAATCATAGTTAAAAAGTAAACTTTGATAATAATATTTTTTATTAACCCACTGGTGGTTTAGAAAAAGTGCAAAATTGGGAAAATGTTTTTCTCCTATACACTATTTCCCAATCAATTAATATGGAAACTATACAACTTTTTATGTTCAGAACCGCTAGTGGGTTAAATCATCTTTTACTCATTTTTAAATCAATATATTTTTTTAAATAGAAAAGTACATCTAAATACTACCATATATTTATTGATATTAGTAGATATTTCTTTCTTTTAGGATGTCTTACTATTGCTTTAGAATATTAAAATGTTTAGCTATTTTTTTGGAAGATTTTGACGAGCAAAAATATACTGATAAATGTGGTATGTATTTATTTATCCTTATTATTTATGATAATTATATTCAAAAGTTAATTTATAGGTTGTAGGTAACTGGTAAGATTAATATAATTTCCTTTTAATTTAGCAGTGTTAATTTAAATTTATTTTTTTCATACATTTAAATATTTTTTTCACTGAAAAGATCTAAATCGTTTGCTATTATGCATGTATAATTTCTCAAATATTTAAAGTATTTTAAATTTGTATTAAAATTTTTACATTTATACTTGATTGTTGCCTAACCCCTGTTAGTTGTAACTGACAAATCGATTCTTAGCATCATAATGACATTTGTAATAGCTTTCATAATTTAAAAGAAATTTTTTTAAAATTAAATAAAGATATGACTGTAGTTTCTTGTTGAAAAAGTAGGAATCTTTATTTTTTGTTAAATTGTAAATGTTGTCTTTTTCTTCAGTATTTATTGCTGAATATGTTTTTATGATCTCTGTTTTTAAAATAATTGATTAAAATTGATTACTTATTGTTAAATATTTGTTAAACAAGCTTAGTTTTTACTGTAATTTAAAAGCTGCATTGAAGGACAGTATTATTTCTCACTTCTTTATATTAATGTTAATTTTTTAGTGCTAAATGTCCCTCATTAAAACGAAGCATCTGCTTTGTGGTTGGTCTCTAAATAGTTTACTTTACACTACATATTTTGCACTATATATTGGTTTATCTTTATTAATATTGAATGGTTGGATGGAACTTAAAATGAAATACTTGTTTTAAATTCTTTGGAAATTACAAAAAAAAAGAAGAAGAAAATAAAAAACTATGAACATAAAGCAGTTATAAGCTAATTTCAATATGGAACTTGAAAACTGAATAAAACTTACTTGTAATTTTCTTTTCAGCAAATTTTAGTATATGTTTTAAAAAGATATCATTTGAAATAAAAATTTTAGCATTTTGAAAAAGTTACATTTTTGTTGCTGATATTAAATCACTTAGATTAATTTTCTAATAATTATTAAGTGATATCTTTTCTCTTGTATAGCATTTAAGATATTGTTTTGTTATAAACATAAATTTTTATTTTCAGAAGTTGAAGTAATACACAAATTGTGTGAAGAGTGCTTGTTTCTTTTAAAGTGTGCTTCCAAAGAGGAATTTGAGGTATCATATTTTTCATAATTTCTTTAAAAATTTCTATTTTAAACTAATTATAAATAAGATTATTTTTTTATTGAAACGGAGTTTATAAACTCTTTCTTTATCTCCTTAAAATTAAACATAAAGTTAGTTATTTTTTGCTCTTATACATAATTAATAAATAAAGTAGTAACATAATTAGTAATAAACAATTTATACGATCAATGGAATGAAAAGTTTATGCAAATATGGACACTGTCGATAATGAATGTAAAGTCAAGAATTAAGTATTAGATAGTTTCCATATCATTTCATTCTGTAATTTTCATATCATAAATGCCTATTTATTTATCGAGTGCACCAGTACATGATAGACTAATGTGAAATTAATCTATACAAATATGTATGTAGATTTACTTTGTCAACTTTATACAGAATTCAGTTTTGCCCTATTATGTTATTTGAGGTATAATATTCAAAAGTAAAAACCTAGAACTTTAAAAAAAAATTATTAAAATTTATAAAAAAGTTTTCTCGCTTGATTGCTGATGAATTCTACAATTGCAATTAAAATAAATATCAGCATGCATGTTATCGGCAAGCATATTTTCAAACTTCCTACAGGAAATATATAAATTTTAATATGCTTAAATATTTTTGAAAGACTCTGTATGTGCAGTTAAAAGTAATTTTTTTTATGGGGAATATTATTTTAATGATTCTATACATAAATTCAAATTATAAATGTATTAGGATTGTTTCAATTTATCTTTATTCCCACCAAAAACAAGTATTTTAACTATCATTTTGGTAGCCTGTTTTGGGACTAAAAGAAAATACACTATTTATTTTGCTATTACGATTTCAAGTTCAATAATTTATTTAAAGTGTCATAGTGTTCGAAAATGTACCCGACTGTATTTTATCTTACACATGCTTTTTTTCTGCTTTTATTAACTTTTAACTATTTTCAGGGCATTGTCACTAAATACATTGAAGATACGAAAGATGTTGATGCACTATGTGTAAAGGTATTGAAATCTGTGATAGATAAAACTGAATCTTAAATATTTAATTGTAACCTGTAAATAAGAACTTAATTTTATAAATAAATGTTATGTTCATATATTGTTAGTTTATTGTTTAGTTTTTTGTTGTTAATATTGATGTAATGTTTATTTAACTTAAAACTGCACACAACTTGTTTATGACCTTAATCTACATATAATGCTCTTCAATGACCCCACCCCTATAATGCGTAGGTTATGATTTAAAAATAGTTTTTGATCCTTGTAATAAAATGTATCAGTTGCTAATTCTTACAAATATCAAATAGCAAATATTTTTAGTTTTGTTATGGACGCTTAAATTAGTAAAAAATGTGTTTTTTTTTTATTTGCTGTCTGTAAAATAAATTATTTATAAAATATTCCTAGACAGCTATGGAACTGGAGCAGAAACCTCCAACAAAGGAAAGTATGTTTTTTGCTCTACATGTTCAAATAGTATTCTTATAACAGTCAGAACTCTGAAATATTTCTCACTTAATGAAACAAAAGATTTAGAATAAACAGTAATCTTCCATGGTACCTCCCGGGGGTAAGTACAAAAAAAGGATGGATACTAAGACTCAAAGCTAATGCAAACAATACTGGAAAAGAGAATCCTTTTGCATTTTTATCTCAAGAATTTTTTCAATAGTTAGAAAGTATAACTTGTAATTAAGATTTTTTTCCTAGCTTTAAGATTTTTCATTGGGGTTTGTATAACGGAATCATTTATATAAATTTTTTGTATGTTTTTATCAGAAGTTTTTAAAATTGTAATCATAAAAAATAAATAAATAAAATTTATTAATTGAGCTTTAATGTTCGAGGAAAAATTTTTTTACAACTTCAACAAAAGGAAAAAAAATACTCATTATTATTAGCTGAATTTTTGCCCGGGATTTGAAATTATTTTGAATTTCCAGAAACCAGATTTTCAAATAATAGAAATTTTACTGTACTTAACACACACATATTTAGTCTATAATTGAAGATTGATTTGATATGTTTTTTTTTTATAGAATATAGCGTACCAATGGCACATTAACTGATTTTTTAACATTGCAGGTAAAAGTTTTTTACCATATGTATCTGTAAATCAAAACTCTTGTTGAAAATTGTAGAGAGTGCAAAATATCTTGACTAACTTATGATCGGATTTTCACGTACTGGGACTCAATCAAGGACGTTTCAAGGGCTAGACCTCAAATTAGTGCTGATGATATTTTAAGCTACGAAATCAGACATAATTTATTTTTTTTTGGTGTATTCGGATTTTTGACCCTTGAAATATAGGGAATAACAGCCATATGGTAAATATAATCGCAGTAGTTTGGTCTGGAGAGTGGTTGAAAATTTGTGGTTAATTTTACTTTTTGTACATTTTGTTCTATTATGTCAACTTTTTGAACGAATTGAAAAATTTTTGCACTCAAATTATTAAAATTAGTATATTCTAAGATAATTTCCAGCAAAATTTTTTTAATGCATCTTAATTTTCTTTTTATTGCTTTGTTTAATAATAGTCGAAAAATTTCTGATTGTAAGAGAGACAATTTCTTGCTTCATTTTTTCATTTTAAAGAATATAATTTTAAATGGCAAAATATGAATGAATATGAAATCGATAAAATAGTTCTTGAGATATCAGAATTTAAATATACTTCCTTTTTATCACTTTCTTATCCTTCATGATATCTTACCTTATTTTGATTTCTTACGTTTCCCACCACTGCCCCTCGACCAAGTAAGTCCCAGGATGCGCTCTTCAGTAAGCAATGTGATGGCTATTCATAATGACTTGATATCTGCAAAGGATGCAAGGACACTAATTTATAAAGGTGCCTGGCAAGACTGTGCTGAGTATAGTTAAAACATTGTGCGTCTCGACAAGCTTGTTGGTTATGTTAATTTTAATTTGTTCTAAATATTTCCTACTTTTTTAGAAGCAGTTTGAGTCCTCGGTTCCCTTTGTCAAGACGAAGAAGAAAAGAAAAAAAATTCCCTAATGTTTCTTTTTATTGTACTTTGGATTTTCTGAAGTTTCTTCATGGTGGGATTGATTGGACATTGTTACATGTTAGTTAATTTGCCTTTGTGTGGGTCTTTTTGATAAAACTAACTTGCATTTGTGTTACATGGAGAGGAACACTGCAAAAACCTCCCATGGTTAGTCTAACAGCAAGGGGATTCTGACCCATGACCGTCTACCTCTGAAGATATTATAATACGTCAGCACTGTAGTCAGTGCGAGCTGAGAGTGGAGTTTGTATCAACCAGCCATTGCTTTGATTTGAACCCGAGTCTCCTCATGGGGAGACTATCGCTCTATCAATACCTTCTAGAAAAGGGAAGGTCTCTGCACGGAACAATTTAGTAGTCCGACGTAACGGACATAAACTGCATAGTGAAGAAAAAATACGAAAGATGTCACTACGTTCGGGACTACTAAAGGATCGGATTTCTTGTTTATGGTGACCCGTGAAGAAGCCTTCGCTTATCTAGGAGGTGTTGGCTCTATCCTCTGAGCCACCATGACCCAAAATGATCATATTCATTTGTTAGAACTTTTTCATGGTTAGTTGATAATCCAAAACAGATCAGGATCCTGGTGACAGAAGTCCTTCAGCGAGGCAATGCGCGCTGTAAATTATCACAGCATTTGCAGATTATTTTTCCTCTCAAACAAATGGAGTAAACCTATTGACTGAAAGAAAGGAAAAGTTTTTCCTTCATCTATGAAAAATAAAGAATAGTTTCTATCAGCAGGTACCTGCCCATCAGATATGTAGTTGGGCCGGAACTCCCCGGTAATTTTCTATAAACAAAAAGTATTTTGCTTATTATTTTTAGGTTGGTTAGTGGCATAAGCGGAATAAAAAAGGCCCTCCTTCATCTTATTTGCTTATTTTTGTTTGTTTATTCATGAAAAAGTATTGAAAAAATCGTTTAAGGAAAAGTAATTGGCTCAAAAAGTTTATGTGAGAATGAGTAAGCTATATAATTTTAAATAAATGGGTAGGTATATTTCCTGAGGAGGGATTTTTTTTGTTTGTTTGTAATTTTTTGAAATTATTTGACTTATTCATTCAAATTGCGTCTTATCAAATCAATATAGTGGAATATTAGATAAAAAAATTTATCTGTTATCTCCTGTTTTCAACAATTAAGTTAATAATAATGAAACAATAATTAGAGTAATTTTATAATAGATGTGCAAAACTTTATCAGGAACCAGACGAGTTAGTATGATGAAAATCAGAGTTGCCAGGGTTAAAGACAGAATGGATTAATCCATGGTTTAAACCGTCCTCGTTCAAAACTCGTTATGTAACAATTTAAAAAAGTTATGTAACAATTTAAAAAAGAAAAATATTGCAAAAAATGAAAGGTTAATTTTTGAACCAGAAACGGAATGAAGACAAGTTTTTGTTTTATTAAAAATGCTTATTATTATTTTTTATATTACTTTATTTTTCATTATTAAAAGCACATTTATTCATATTTATATTCACTTTTGTTGTTCAATGAATTGTGGAGCTTTAAAAGTTATAAATCTTTTCCTACTATATTATTTTCCTTGTTAAACCAAATTACATAAAAAGTATCAAATATTTATTGATATATGTAGTTATTATGTGTGCATTGGTTACACCTATAGAATTTTTAATTTTCACCAAAGTTCAAGGTTTTGGACACTTTAAGTCAGTTTCAGCCAGTTTAGGACAGTTTAAGACAGTAAAACCCACGTGTCCTGTCCAAAACCCCAACCCTGATGAAAATATAATGAAATTGATTAAAAACTTCAAGAATTTAAAGGCAGCGCTGTGAGGGTTTAAATATATACTGTTCTCCTGAATAAAAGCTTTTATTACGTTCGGAAAAAAATTTCTAATAAGAGAAACGCGTTTTTGTACCCGATGCAGTATGCAGCGCTTTTTAATTTGCATAATTCAAATACACTTTCACTATCGATACTTTTTTATATTAATACTCAAAAGTCTGATCCTTAAATTACAGTTATTTTAATTTTATGAAATTAATTTTTTTCAAATGCACTTTGTTTTATCTCACATTAGACTCGCTTGACTTACAGCTATAAAATCAAAAGTAATTATAATTTATGAAATCTGAAAAAAATTGATGAAGTGTGAAATTAACGAAAAATCTGCTTAATTTGAAGAAGAAAAAATTGTTTGCACCGTAACTAATGAACATTAGTTTTTTGTCATTTTTCACTTCAGTAATAATTGACGTCATAAGAAATTACGCTTTGATTTAAAATTAATTATCATTTTAATTATGCCTATAAGCTATTTTAAAATCATTGACTTTTGACATAGATGAGCAGTCGTGAAAACAATTTAATGTAAGCATATTTTTCAAAAAGTTTTATTTTTAAAAAACAATTTTTTATCCCATAAAAAAATCATTAGATAACTTTGAACTTTGCCTAATTGATGTTTAAAAAAAGTCATTATTAAAATTTGAAAAAAAAAACATTAATTATCTTTCACATTGTTATAAAAACTTGTTGATAATTTGAAAATTTTTGTTGTTAAAATAGAATGGATTGATGATAAATAATTAATTATTTTGAAAATTTTAAATAACTGAATTTTTAAAATTTGATTTGCCAAAAATTATTCGACCCATTTCGTTTATATTTTGTATTTCGCCTCACAAAACTACATACTTCAAAATTATGTAAAAAATTGTATACTTTGCGATTCTGAATTTTTCGACAATTATTGAATAAAATAGTAAAAAATAGGAAATAATTATTAAAAACTATTTTTTGCATGGAATTGTCTTTGGATAAATGAATTTTAATGTTGTGTGCAAAAATTTTTCAATTCACTTGAAAAGTTCTCATGTCAAGGCGAAATAGTCAAAAAGTAAAATTAACATTAAGGAATCCAAACTTTGGACCGCTCTCCCTGCCAAACTATTGGGACCAAATTTCCCAGATGGCGGCCACTCGCTATTAATTTGCTGGTTAGAAATCATAATCCGTCGAAAAAAAGGCATGTTTATTTAGTTGTTGTTCATTTACGACGCACTAGAGCTGCACAATGGGCTATTGGCGACGGTCTGGGAAACATCCCTGAGGATGATCCGAAGACATGCCATCACAATTTCGATCCTTTGCAGAGGGGATGGCGCCCCCGCTTCGGTTGCTCGACGACCTGCACACGAAGTCGAGCACTTTACGGTAGAACAGTTTAAAGAGGACTAATACCGCACACCCTCGGTCCCTACGCAGACTGATCCAAGTGGTCACCCACCCGACAGCAGCCAGTGATGCTTGACTTCGGTGATCTGCAGGGAACCGTGTCTTAACGATCAGTCCACTGCGGGATGCATGTTTATTTAGAAAAAGTACGTTTTTGTGTCGAATTTCGTTACTCAAAATATCTTCTGCTTTAATTAATTAGCATATTTGAGGTCACCTTCCCCTTGAACCGTCAAGATTGAGTCCTAGTACGTAAAAATCCGATCACTAAATCAAAAGTCATTCAGAGTGTTTTGCACTATACACGCTTTTCTAATGTGGTTACAGCATCCTCCTACATCACCAGAGATGCTTGGTTCAATCTCCAACGAACTTATCTATCACCCATCTGTTTGGGTATGTCTCCGTCTAGATAATCTTGTTAGCTCTAGAAAGCTATTTACATTATAAAATAAATAACTAAATTAATAAATAAATAAATAAATAAACTGCCTCAGAAGATTGCGTAGATGCACCTACATGATTCTTCTTCATGCCTACGAGGTATTATTCAAAATTATGCTAATATTCAAAAAGTGTGTAGATATCGCTACCTCTTTACAGGAAGAAAAGTTTAAAAATTTAATCAGACCAACTATTCCAAAAATTCGAAATCGTTTGCTTAAAAAAAAGAACGTTATTTTTCCTGATGCAAAGTATTAATTTTTAATCAAAAAATTATCTTTTTTATGCACTTTTTCGGTTTAGTTCACAAATTATGTACAAAATGTTCATTTTTTTCCCCATTAGAAAATACTAATGCAGATTTTTTCTGAAGATAAATATTCGAAGACGACAACATAAAGATACTCTTATTTCTATCGCCAAGTTCTTTTACCTTTGGTGGTAAAAGATCTTGGCTTCTGCGTCATAACCTTTCGTGGCTAAAGGAAATTCAAAATTAATTATTACTTACATAGTATTTTCATTCATTTGCATATTTAAGATATATTTTCTGTTTGTTTGAAAGGTAACTCAATTATAATTATATTATATTATAATTATATTATAATTATATAATAATTATACTATAATTTATAATGAAGTCATTCATGACGTTTGAATGACAAAAAAAAGGAAAAAACTGAGGAGTTTCATAACAAACGCCTCCTTGGTGACCTTTAGGGTGGGAAAACAAGGGTGGTCACAGAAAGTGGAGGGAGGCTACAGGTAGGTTTCCGATGTCGGCCTTCGGTGAAGGTCATCTGATTTTTCGATCCTTATTTTCAATTTAAGGCCGCATAGTTTCGCTATCGTTGGTTGAGTTGCGTCTCAGGTCGTTGACTTCTTTTCCTGTAGTAGGTTTCATGCTTTGCGTTGGTGGAAAACAATCATAACTTAGACGTCAAGTTTGATTATTTTGTAAACCGTAATCCGGGGTTACTTAGGCTACCGGGGTAACTAAAGCTACTTTTCCTGGGTACATTTTGAACGCTGAAATAAGCGACACTGTTATGTGTGAAATTGTAAATTTTCGTACCATAAGCTCCTTGTTTTAGTTATGATTTGGGCCACATATTTTAATAGGTACTA